TTTACGTGCGGTTTAAACGAAACATAGTTGTCAGAATGTTGAAAATTGTTGAAATTGCGGCCAGCGAAAGATAACACTGCCGAACACGCGGCTGTAGTCTCTGTGCATTGTTTCAGAAGAACGAATCTTCTGAAAGCCAACACGTTTTGGGTCAGCAATTTCCATACCCAACGCTGGAGAGTGGAGTTCATTGGATGAATCCGGACAAAAATTTTGGAGGTTACAGGAAAACAATATTTTTTCGTACCTCCGTCGGAAACGGGTCGTTCATACTTTATAAACAATTTTTTACCGATTTAATATCGACGTTCCACTTTGCGGGGCAAAGTTAGGCGGATTTTATTCGAAATAAGAAATAACTATTCAAAATAATGGATTATTTAAAATAGTTTGTCATATTCACATTTTACGAGTACTTTTATTTTCTAGTTTATTCGCATCGATTATTTTAGTCTAAACGTTTTTATTTCGAATACTTGGCTCAAACGAGGTAATAAATACTTTGACGTAGGAGCTGAATAAATTAATTCATTGGAAATATGGGGATATTTGTAGTTCTACCGTATTTGTCTTCAAACGAATTCTCCCCTCAAAAAGTTCGCCAGAGGAACGTCCATATTCAGGTAAATCTACCACTGTTAGCAAATGCGGATGCTGGCGATGTTGGCATGGTGAAAATAGAGAATTTTTGAGATTTTATTTGATAAAGCGTTTTAAAATATAAAAAATAGAATGAGAAATTATTTTAAATAAATTACAAATAACGTAATAATGTAGGGGAAAAATTATTTGTGTGTTCAAATAAACATGGTTATTTGAAATAACATGTAATTAGAACAATTCAGTTAGAAAATAACATTTACAATTTTTATAAAATCAGAATGTTAAATAAATATTGTCACGAGAGTAATAAGTTCGCGGATCTTTATTCAAAACAAATATTTCCCAAATTACCTTTGAGAAACAGAAACAGAAAGAAGTTCAATAAAAATGAATTTTTTCTTTTAATAATTTTAATTAACCGAAAATAATTTAGCAATACCCTCCATTTTTGTTAATATCTGTGTAATACCTACTCGTTTTTATTAGAAATGCATAAAATTCACAATCTAGTTACAACACTGTTTCTTGAGAATGTAATTTCGAGATTAACGTCCTTAAAGTTTGAAATCATGGTTCTTATAGCTTGCGACTTACTTGGTAAGTTATATGCAGTCTTATAACTTTCGCACTTATGCGAATATTTACGTGAAAATTTTTCAAAATCTTCAGAAACAATGAGGCATTCGAGCCAACGATAAAAACAAATCAATTTTTGACATTTCAATACCGTTACACTCCCTTAATCAATTTCGTATTCAGCCAGTTTTATTTGATTTATTATCTAGATCGTATGGGTCACCAGCGACCCGGTTAGTATTACAAAATCGCAGGGAGCTATTATCGCTAAATTACAAGAGTTGTTATTATAATAAGGATAGCTCAATATAAAAAAAAAATATAATGCTCATAAGTCAAAAACTTCGAGTCAGAACTTCTAAGGATAATTTACTGTATTCTGTTTCCGTTAGAATACAATGTTGTAGTTTACAGATCCGTTGTGGGTAGCTTCTATGACTTGAAATTATTAGCATCTGTGAAGTTGTAGTAATCGTGAATACACAAATACGATTCTTACCCTAGGGGCTCGTAATGGAAACGCTTCTGCAGCCGCACTCTGTGCGAATTAGTTTGAGTAAAGAAATATACTGAATGTTAACCTCTAAACATAAATCAACAACAAATTTGTAATTTTTGATAAAACTGATTTACTCCGATGTATGAAATAAGATTTGAAAATTATGATACTTTTACCACATAATATGATTTCAAAGTTACACACAGACCTATAAAAGGATAATGGAGCCCTAAAGACAATTTTCTTGAAAGCAGAGATGTAACAAATTAGCCCTCAGCGGCTTGTAATACGCGATTTTAATACACCCTGTATATGTTATACATACATCTAATCTAAGTGAAAATATTCAAAATAATTATCTAAATTCGAATATGCTATTGGATTTATCTGACCAATGTACAAAAATGATCTTCCACATCCGTTTTGAATCGTCACTTCGAATCTTTCAGTTATACAGAAGAAACTTATCCATTCTTTAAAATAAAGTCATAATTATAATATCTAAAGTATTTCATTATGTTTTCATTTAATAGTCCAATTTCCATGTATGTACATGCAAAATAAGCGATGTATCGTATGCATGATTTATAACAGAAACAATAACACATCGTATCGATTATTTATTTAAAAACAATACTTTATTTACATGATATTAGATAATATTAATTTGTTATTATTCGCGTTCGTGTAAATGGGTCCATTGTTCGACCGCAATTTATATGTTATAATAAGAGCTCAGCTCTGAATTTATGTATTCTCTGTGTAGGACAAATATATTCGTACGGTAACAATGCAGAAACGAAAACAGCTACATCTCCTACATTATTGGTTACTAGACTACGGATTGTAGGCATTTGTTCACAAAAGGTCCACATTATTTAAATGTTTTTAAAATGTATTTAAAATCTTTTGTACAAATTTTTCTTCCACGAAATGTCGACGTAAATGTAAATAATCGACGTAAATGTGTACAAAGAATGGAGAACCTAAACAAAAAAACAAGAAACGGAAATGGATATCTGAGTATCTGATTATACACACAGGACAGCAAACAAATAAAAAATGTTTAACACTTTGACTGTCACGCAAACAGCATCGAAAGTTTCATAGAATTAAAAAAAGAATTAAAAATCAAATTAAAATTAGAAAATGAAGTTGTATGACATGCATACTATATCGGTATATGATTTAAATCCGTGCAAATAACACATAACGTGTACAGTAATTAATACATGAGCCTTTTTCGCTCGCAGTAATTCGTAACAAATGTGATTTATTCGATTTTCGATACTTTTTTTATTTTAGATTACATTTTCAGAGTTCATAGATTTTTTTTCATATTTCAAAATGCAAGATTCGTATGAAATCAAGAGAAATAGTGGGAAAAAGTACAGCTAAAGCTTGTTATCACGGTAATAAGTACTTTTACCCCACCGAATTGGATTCAAGAAACGTAAAATCAGCTGTGAAGCACGGGGATGGGAACGTAATAGTGTGGGGGTGTATTGCTTCATCAGGAGCTGGAAAATGATTAAGGCCTGAATCAATTCCATAACTCTCACGTTTACCAACAAATGAAGTAATTCCGTTTTCATTTAAATAATTAAGGTTTGTTTGTTTATTTTTCATACTATTAATGTTATTGCAGAACGTACAATATATATTAATACATATATAATATTATTATACATATTATTATGCATATATTACAATATATGCTAATGTTCTATTAAAGCTTTTTTTATTTCTTCATTGGTACTGTACGAATACTTTTGCTCGTCTCTGAACGTTAAATATATGTAGATAAATGGAGTGCTATTGTATTAATGCTTCGACTGCGGTGGTTGGGTCGTTTTAACTCAAAATATTTATATCGTCACCAAAATCAATTTTCGGCAATTAAATTAAAAAAATTGATGTTACACTCAGAGAGAAATAATATAAAGATTAATACGTCTACAAGAAGGATCTTTAAAAATATGTTTTGAAAAATTGATGAAAAAGCCGAGAATGGTCAAAAGTAGACAGCAGATGTTTATGCAAATTTCATATATCAAAGTACGCAATATGTATGTAAAATACATATAAAATGTATGCAAAATATACGTGAAATATAACTAAAATTTTATTGAAAGTAATACACTAGTATACTCTGCTCTTGTTTTTTTGCCACAATCAGTGGGTGCATTGTATAGATTTTTAGTGAAATCTGGTGATTTTGACCAGCACAATAGATAGATTTAGTGTTAAGTAATCATTGGCGTAACTAGGAACTTTGTATAAGCGATTTTTTAATCAGCTGTTTACTTGACTCTATATATAATTTTATTTAATAATCATTTCAAATAATTATTTGAGACAATCGTGACATTTTTCTTCGAAATTATATCGTGATCTAATTATCAGCTCCGAATCTGATTTACGCTGACATCCTTACTGACATTTTTGCAAAATGATTGTTCAATAATAACACAAACAAAACTGTTCTAAACACAGAATAACACTTCTCTTCCATCTCTCTTTCGCACCAGTCGAATAATTATTTTCTTTCGCACAACAATATTACATGGTCACAGACAAAAATCTCTTAAGGAGAGGTTTTTGAAGAAAAAGTTTTGCTCAAAACAACTTGCTATTTTCATCGTATATTATTTCAAAGATTATATCTTTATGACGAGAATTGGTAAAGATATTTTGATGTAATTCCATTGAAAATTGTCTTTATCATGTTTATTACTTTGTTATATATTTGTATTCGAGGCGAGAGAGAGAGAGGGAGAGAATAAAAACGAATTTCTATAGAAACATGTTTATTTTTAATAGTTTGTTATTTATACATATATTTATTTATTATTATTTTAATTTTGCATTAGTTAATCTTGTATTATGTGATTTTGGTGTATTCTTTATGATAGCAAACGAAAACAGCCTCTCTACCAGAACTTATGACGGGAGACGTTTGTTGTACGCAAGAAATCATCAACCTCTGTGAAATCTTTTAATATATTAATTTTCACGTATCACGTTATATTACTTGATTGTCTCGAAGAAGTTGCTCTGTCAAATTCAAAGAAAGTATGAAACCAATAAATAAGATAATGCAATACTAGCAATACTATAAATTAACATAACATATAAATTTCGCGATTGAAAGAAATCGAACCGTTAACAGCGATCAACGACTAACGGTAGTAATTCAATCGTTAGTCGTCGATTCATTTTTTGTCGAACTCTGCCACTGGCTCTACCCAACTACGCCAATAACGTAAGTAATACACCGTACCGTTGTGTCTGATCCACGTATCGTGACTATTCTCGACAGGAAGTGCCGATAGTCATCGCCGGAAACAAGCAGGATCTGGCAACCACGCGTAGAGAAGTATCTATCGAGGACGTGAGCGAATGGGTGTTCTGCAAGTTGCCGAAGCTCCGAGCGAAGGTGATGGAATGCTCCGCCAAGGAGGACTACAATATCAAGGACGTTTTCCGCTGTTTCATCACGCTGTCGAAAATCGTGCCGAAGAGCCTTCCCGGTGAAACGGACGAGTCGGGCCTCAGACGAAGATGTTCCGCTTACGGATCGCGCAGGTATAGCGCGGTTGGAAAAACAAAACACGTTTCGTTGTTGTTCGCGGCCGATGCAGTTTCTAATCGCGCGGGATCCGTCCCCTCCTTGCCACGCAAATTTTCTCGCGCGGATCGATTCGTATCCCCCCCCCCCCTCCCCGAGTTAAATTGCTTCTCCACGCGCGACACGACGCGACGCGACACGGCGTGGCGATTCCAGAGGTCTACGCGAAAATTAATTTCCGCTGGTCGACCGCCCCGCTCGACAAAAGGCGAATGAAAAACGCTCGACAATGAGTCGATTAACCGGGCGATCGATCGCGGCTGGTATTCACGGTAGCGTTGGCAACGTTGGTAACGTTGGCTCGCGTTCGGTCGCGTCGCATCGTGACGCGTTGTGAATCGCAACAAGTAAGTATATCGCAACGCGCGAGTAACGAAAAGAATCACGTTGGCATTGGCAGGTCCGGCAGTCCACACGGTAAAACGGCGGTCACCGGCGGGCCGGGAGGGAATTCTCATCAAACGGTCGCGCCGCAATCTTCGACGGTCGCCGGCAACGAGGAAGTCGTCAAGAGCAAACCGCGCAGCCGTAGCTTGATCAGGCGCGCCTCGCGAAAGACGAAGCAACAGATCAGGGACACCCATACCGATGACTGCAACATCTCCTAACTCGATCGTTTTGCCAGCCAGCCCCCTCTTCTCCGCACGCTCCCGCGTACTCACGTTCAACGACTGTAGCATATTTCGGCCGGATGTTGACCCCATTCCGTCGTAGAGATGTGACTATTGCTTATCGATATTGCATCGATATCTTATTGGTACTTAACGACGTATCGGTGATATCGTTAAAGTATCGTTAAGGGAAATCGAGAGACTGATCGTACGGTTTTATCACGACGAGTACTTTACATGTTGTAAATTGTTATATTACAAACAGAAATAATGTGCACATTTTAATCGGTCCACGCTGTTTTAGGAGAAGCTGATTGAACGAATTAATTGAACGAAATTAGCCTGAATCCTGGAAGCATTCCCAGATTGTTAATATTTGTGCTAGTGATCTTAGTCCTTAGTCTAAGATTGTTAGATCTTGAACTTTATTAGCTGCGTTAATAAATATAAACGAAAATAAAATCGTTTGCAAAGGGTGCAGATTATGGTTAACATTTACAAATATTCTGTTTGCGATCAGTATAAATAGAAGTAAAGACATTTGTTTGAATAATATTATATTATATTATATTATATTATATTATATTATATTATATTATATTATATTATATTATATTATAATATTATATTATTATGTTATATTATATTATATTATATTATATAACAATAGATTCATCACATTTTACTCTGAAGCTACCATTCGTCTTAACGATATCTTAACGATATATCGATATGTTGAATTATCGGTGACACGTCCGTATTATTGATATTTACTGAAAACAGCGTCGATAGTCACAACTCTATTCCGTTACGGATCATTCCTTCTCCCGTGAGAACATACAATGCCAGCTGGATCGAGAGGGCGAGATAAAGCCAGTAGGTACGGAGCGGAATCGATGTTCCAATGTCGCGTCGATTTCAAGAACGAAACCCAACCGCGAACGTTCCACCCGGTCCCGTTTCCCAAAAACGTTCGCAAGCAGCTTTGTTGCCGTCGAACAACGTTTTCCCCTGTTACGAGTCGTCCGATCCCCGAACGAAGAGACTGTACCGGTACCTCCTGGTTAGTTCCAACATTTTTACAAGCGTCGTTTCCGTCGAAATTGTTCGATCGGGTCGTCGCGCCCGAGCATATTTTCGATACCGATCGAAATCAGGCCAACCACGCACTGGTTGTCTTCAAGTTTGCTCGACCATTCGCTCGTAAAACGTAGACGTCCACGAGTTTCAACTAGGTATACGCGGATACCCGGTTTGGGTCGGATCGGATCTGAATCCCAAAAGCTTGTAATCAGTAGCCGTTAGAGGACACTAGCTTACCTCTTTTAACCTTTTAGGTACGGCTGAATTCTGCGCGAGGCTATCTCTCTGGACGGCAGAGTCTGATACTGTATATTCTGTCTGTATATACAGGGTGTCCCAAAAATGTCTCGCAATCCGAAAGTGGCGGGTTCCTCAGGCCATTTGAAGCAACTTCTTCCTTTGCAAAAATTTTCTCCGAGGCATCGTTAACGAGTTATTAACGAAAAACAGTGACCAATGAGAGACGAGCTCAGCTGGCGCGAGGCGATCGAGCCAATGAGCGGAACTCGACTTCGCGCGCTGGTTGGCTGGGCCGCCTCGCGTCAGCCGTATTCGATTCTTATTGGTCACTGTTCTTCGTTAATAACTCGTTAACGGTGCCTCGGAGAAAATGTTTGTAAAGGAAGTAGTTGCTTCAAATGATCCGAGGAACCCGCCATTTCTGAATTGCGAAACATTTTTCGGACACCCTGTTGACTGTTATAAATCGATGCGAAGACAAAAGAAGTGTGAAACAATGCATATGAAGACGATTATTTGGTTCAAACGATGAGCGAGTGAGCTATTAGAGCAAGCCACTATAGTGGCGCGTCGTCCAGAGAGATGACATCCGCGGAAGCCACTATAGTGGCGCGTCGTGCCTAAAAGGTTAATAATTGTAATAAGTAGAAAATAATAAAACAGTATTTTCAAATGCTTCTAATCCTTCACAGTTTTGTATCCGGAGTCTAGTAAACATATATAAAACTCCGCACAAGAAAGAAATATGTCTTGAAATACGTATATATGTAGTGTGGTATAATATTATTTTATTGCTTTGATATTTTATTTCTTGAATATTCAAGTCCATAAAAATCATAAAAATATATCAAGGTTTCCGTAACTCGTTTACACGGAAATATTAGTTAACGAATTTAACCATCGTGCATACTTACGTGATTACAAACTTTCGATATCCCGATCCGACCCGCGCAGCCCTAGTTTCAACGACAACTGTCGGAGATCGCCGGAATCAAAGTCGGGGAAGGAAGAAACGTTTGTGTCCATCACTGTGAAATTGTAAACAGCTCCACTAAACGGTCGCGCGACTCGAAGGTGACAGCGCGTGCCCAGCCTAATACGCGATTTGGACCGAGCGTGTCCCGACAAATATCCTCTCCGTCCTCTTGTTGTATGTACATAGGCATAGTCCGGCATTGTGGCCCGTTGCTCTTTTCAGCGATAATCAAAGAGAAAAGGCTGCGAGACAACGAATCCACCGAACACCCGGGAATAGAGCGAACTGTGTACACACGTAAACAGGAATCGCGTATCGAGCGAGTCGGAGTTTGGTCTTCGCACAACAAGCTTAGGGTCGAAAACGTGAAAATACAATATATTTCAGTTAAACGGAACAGCTCATATTTTGGCTGCAAGAATCTAAGGCAAAATGTAAGTATTCCACGCGGTATAGTAGACTGTTTTCGTAAAGGAACCATATCAAAGAATGCTACAACGCTGATTTCGTTTCTTGCCAAATTATTTTATTTTCTCGATCATAAAAGAAATCTATCATAGTTTTCGTTGACGGGTTCCATACGAAAAACATAAGTCTTATCGCGCAACGTACTTAAATTAGGCCCGCCATTTCAGAAGATAAAATTCATATTTGTAAGCAGCGCGCGGAAATCTATTAGGTTAACTGAAAAATAATTGCGGTTGCCTGGAGTTATTTTATTTTAAGTACGTGGTCTCATAACGGAGCTAATCAAAATAGGGATCATCAGTTTTTACACTTTTTCAATCTAGCAACAAGTTTAATTCATTCTGGTTTTATAAAATTCTTGATTTTCATTCAAGAGATAACAAATGAATCTCCTCAGTAATGGATTCTCTCGAATAAAAAGAAAAATTATAATAACTTAAAAATGGTTTTCGACCATGATCGACAGCGTGTGTCGCAAACAACTTTGCAATAGATAAATAAATTGCTTCATATGACGCTGATCTTACATACTTACCATATATTTCAACGTTTGAAAATACGTTTTCCACAATAGAATTTTCAACAATCGACTGCTAGAAAAATTCTTTAACATTCATACACTTCATCCGTAGTTTAAATTTATGTTTTTAATTTTTAAAGGTCAAAATGTTATAAAATTATATCAATTATATGCAGTTTAAAGAAAAAAGCTGTATGCGGTCCCATACATATTTTGATTATTTTCCTTACGAGGTAAAAAAATTAAAGGTGATCGTTGAAAACCGCAATTACTTTGCGGCTAACCTAACATAAGAAGTATCGATTGGTTATTGCAAACATGTAAACAAAGTTAAAATTTATCGAGCAGTGTAGTCAGGGTAAATGGATGAATACTGAGATGTCGCTGGTGAAAACGCTTCGCGATGCAACTCCATTGTATCGCTATTTGCACGGATCCTACAAAACCAACCTACTATACGGAAGATAATGCCGAAGCGTTCCCTTTTAGAAACTCAGTCGTGTAAGTCGATTCCGAGTCGCTCCAGATACAAATACCAATTATTGCCCTTGAACGTATAAATACGTATTCATACGCTCGCATACGCGCAAATTTGCTGCAGATACGTGCACGTCTGTGTATGCGATGCGATCGCATTTCTCCCTTTCTCGTACAAACACACCAGACCAATTTTACCAAATATATATTTTGTGACTGTCTGTTCGTCTAAAGTGTAAGCACAAAGCAATTTTCTGTATTCATTGGGAATGCAACGTATTTCTCCATCGTTGCGCATACGTGAATTCGGTGCGTTTGTTCAAACGACTTCGAGCGCGTTATGCAAGGAAGCTATAAGAAAAAAAAACAAAAAAGGAAAACAGTAAAAAAAAAATAGATATTTTTATTACTAAACGTTGAAATCTTTTTTCCTATCTTAATCTAGCATGCTTCTACGCTCGAACTCTGTGCGCGAACTTGTCGATGCGCCATTATTTTGTTCTAGTAGTCTTTTGTATCGCATTAGCGTTCCGCTATAGCTACGTAAATATTTGAAGAAACAAAACGAATGCTGTATCGATATCAAATCAAAATTGTATTGGTAAATACAATAAATGTAAATAAACGATGAAAAATATGCTACGCATATGTATATCGCGAAGGGATAGAGCGAATAAATACTTCAACGCGACCAGATAAGCTCTTCTATTCTCCGTGTTACAAATGTGAACTGCACCACCGGTTGTAGTCTTTTCTGCTGTTGCTATTGTTATCGATGTTGTAGCCTGTAGTAGTCGTAGCCGTCGTCGCCATTTATATTACAATAAAATAAGGCGGCAACAAAATTGAGTGGAAAACGCATCAAGAAATTTATCAAGAAGAGATGGTAGTAACGTTGGAATTGGTATCCGAGTTACATCCGTTATCAGTTCCGTGAAATAAATTTTTGAAATGTTGAACGTAAGCCTGGCAGTGTTCTCCCTTCGCGAAGGCTGTCGAATTGTGCAGCCTTAAGTTACGCTGTTCGAAGAACTTGAAAACTGAAAAAAATAATGTAGTGTCCTCCGTGGCTTTCGCTGCTTCCAAGATTTTCCTGGCGGAAACTTGATCCGCCTTTCCCACTGACCGAACATATCTGAAATAGAAAGCAAAATACAATATACGATAAAAACAAACAGTGAAGAGATTCTACATGTAGTAAACATTCGATAAGTAGCTGTGCTAGGAGTTATAGAATTGTTTATGTTATAACGCAGGGCTGTTTAAAAATCTGGCCCGCGGGCATACCTACTGTATTTATATATACAATCCCATTTTTAAAAATCGATATCCTCTAAATCTTGGATGATGCGACAAACAAAAACCTCTCAGGAAATTGAGGTACTTAAAGATGCTCATATTAGACGGAACACCTTGAATACATATAAAATTTAAAATATATCGCGAAACTCTCTTAGCAAATAGAATTGACCTTGAAATTTCCTGAAACCCTCCACCTACAAGAAATGTTATGGCCACCTAGATATTATACGACTATAATAAAAAAATTGAAATATTTCTGTAAAACAATATTGTATGTATACGCAATTTCCATGATTGAAAGTATGAGAATTAAATGCGACACTTTATGTATTCTTCCTAGGCGATAGAGTAGAGTGTACGAGTACGGGCAATGCCAGTGAGCGAGGGGCGTTTCCAACAGCCATCTGTTGAGCAGCTACTTATCAAATGCTTACTGTACAATGGAAGCGATAGTACAACTTACCGCAATGCTTGTAAAATATGACCTTTCGAAAGAAGAACTTCAATTATTTCTTCGTGAGCATTCCCGAGTCTTTTCAGCATATCCAAGGCAAGCTGATGAGCAGCCGGATAAAGATTCTCCAAAGAGAGCAATAAACATGCCAAAGGTTTCGAATCTGCTACCACGTGATATTGCAACAACTGATGAAGCTGGTAATATGCTTTCCGCTGCACTAACGTCGTTATTAGCAACTCGTGTAAGTAATGTTGTACAGGTATTCCATGTTCAGTCAAGGATCTAAAACGACAGGAATGTCACGGACATTGTCCAGCAAACGATAAACGATACCAAGTGTATAAAAGTACCTAATATATTCGAGAAGTACCCATACAATCATTTTTGGTTCAATCGTATTTTCCGGGAATTTTGATAATATGTAACTATAAGTGTCGCTCTGATCGAGCAGAAGCTTGTACTTATAGTTCTCGGGAGGTACACCGATGCTTTTTACATTATTTTGTAAAGGAGTCCCCATCTAAAAAATAAACAAATATATTAAACAAAAGAGAAATTTATATACTAGAATAAACAATATAATTACCTGACTTTGAATTTCGCTTTCCAAATAATTTCTATATACGGAATTCAGTTTATCGAATATAACCGGCATGTCCATCAAACTGACAGGCAGCTGTATCATAAAGCTCTGCAGTACCTGCACCAACACTTGCTTTGCGTTCGTTCGTTGCATCAAAAATTCTACCAGCAATACTTTGTCCGTAATAAGTTTGACCAACGCATCCAGTTTCAACTCCACGTACCTAACGTGGATCCCAAACAGATGATTAGCTTCTCAGTATTTATTTTTCATATATTCCTAATACTATATGTTCGAATTTTAATGGACTTACCTACCATAGGCAACCTAGCTTCACATCTATCACGATGTTTGGCTGGAAAACGACCCAGTTTGGTGAATCTATGAAACGTTGAGGAAAACTAATGGCTAATTTATATATGGTTCAATATATAAATTACGTATGAAATACACATTGTTTTGTCAAGGATACATAATTGACATGGTTGATAAGCTTGCTCTGATAAAGTTGCCCCTGGCACTTTCAAACTATACGGCTTGATGGCTTTTGCTGGTGCTACGCTATTATGATGCATTACGGTTCCATCGCTCACTCCCGGCAACATAATGTCAAAAATCATTGAGGTCTAAAAACCAGTTACTTCGTTTTAGTTTTCATCTCTATTTCCATTCTTCAAACTCCCATTACACATGCTTACTCACTTTTGAAGCTTGATGGTGAACAATGATGAGATTATCGACAACATTAATGGCAAATCTACCACTGACATCGAGTTGCAAAATATGACTTCGCTTGATCATTGTCATCCTGTAATAATAAAATACCAACTAGAATGTGAATAACCAATATCGCAAAACATGCGAGTATTATACTTACTTATGGACAGTGTATACATAGACGGATGCAGTTCCTGTTGAACGATTTGCTCCTGGTTGATGTCGCAATAAGATAATACAAGGTGTTCCATACAAAACTGCTAATGCCACATCCCGTTCGCAAACCGCTAACTTACCTGGTTTTGTTGCACCAGGTTCCACTGAAACAATGAATTATAATTTTGTTATTTTTCATTCTACCATATTGTCTGTAATTATTAATTATTTTACTTTATCTAACTTTCAAATTTTGTCAATTTATGGAGATTTCCAGGTGTTACATGTAATGCTTGCATTTGATTTCCCATTGTACCAGACGATAAAAGCACTAGATAGCTTTGTGGGCAATAAACAAACCAGTTGACACCTAAACTCAAGCATTTTAGTGCCCGAACATTTCGTTTTTCTGGATTTACCTAAAACATAGACAAACCTATAAGAAATCAATTGTTTTGCATAGATACAGTGCAAATGTATCTTTAAAATATTTCTTTCCCTACTTGAAACAACTCAACTCCATAATCAGTAACAAATAATATTTCATTTCCATGAGTCCAAACAAATCCCAATATAGTTGCATTTTTTCCTTTACATGGTTGCGAGTATTCAATATTATCTAATCCTGTGACAGGAGAATAATTAACAAATTCTACTGATGCATTGTTACGTTGGATAGCTAATATATTCATATCAGGAGAAAACTTGATAGAAATCACAGGCCCTTTGTCTTCCATTCGAAAGTTTAGATTTTGGTTTGGTCCTTTAACTAATACGCTTGCAACTCCCCCTGATCGAACAGCAAATACCTAAATACCAAATATTTTGTTTTAACATCTTTGTAATAATTGACACTCCTTCTTTCATTTACTCACTTGCTGTTTTGAGTCATCGAAAAAAACATTGGTAAGACAACTAACTGATTCAAATTTAATTGGATCAGAAGATAGTTCCAAGTAATAATTGCCATCTGTATCGTGCTCCTCGACTGCCATGTCACACTGCTTTTACACTGTTGCTGTCAATATTATTCCTTCTGTTTGAATATTATAATCTTTTCTTTGCTTCCCTATAAAACTGTCTCTACTTACAAAACCTTTACAATAAGCAATTCTGTTTTGACTATGTCTTTGTCACCGTGTTATTTCATAAACATTTTCCACTTACAAAATAAACATTTTTCAACATCAAATCACTTTAGTATAACAAAATATTAAATTTCCTGACGAACTAAATCCTCTTAAAATAAAAAGCACCTTCTGATGGCAATATGCTTTTTATCTAATACACATTCAACATTATGCACAAAGTACGAATGACGTTGAGTGACGTTTAACCATTTGATCATAAAACAACATGTAAAATGTATACAGTAATACCCATCTTTCTGCACAATTTTTTTTTCTTAAGTTTTTACAAGTATCCCCACCATTTTACTGCGCATCCAGCTCCGCACAGTTGCTTTAAATGTATTGTATCTCATGTTTCATTATCCTTACATTTGCATGTTCGTAAAGGGTAGTGCTGAAAAATGAATTTAACAAGTAGAACTATTTTTACAAGATTGGGAAAACAGTGTAAAGCAAATCTAGTTCAGTTTTTAAATAAAGATCATTGCTCTCAATCTTGCGATGCTATCCATATTCAGAAAAGATTTAAAACACGACTAAGTAAACCTAACCTGTATGTGGGTAAAAACAAAGCAAGGAAATTTATTGAATTGCCTGCAACACTTGGGCCTTTTGGATATTTCTTGCTGGCAAGTTGAAAATATATTAAAAATTACATTTTACAAGTAATTGAATATTAATTTTGCAATAATTGTCATATAATTCTTTTGGGCTTAAATGACCATATTAACAAGTGTAAATAATATAGAGCATTCCAATTGGTACATTTCTGCTTGGCACATGGCAAGTGAAAAGACTTAAATGGAAAGTCAACCTAATACAGAATCTGAATGAACGCATTTCTCACGAACCTCTTCAACTACCAAATGAGTAAGATAAATGACATAAACATATAAAATTTTATAACCTGAACTTACAAGGGAGTTTATTTAGTTTACAGCAACTAGAGGAAATGGAATATTATCCTTTTAAAGTTAAAGGAACATTTTTGTATGATCAAGAATTTCCTATAGGTCCTAGAAGTTTAATAGTGGATGGCGATTCTTCTAGTCAAGGTTCTTTTTTAGGAAATAAAGATACCTATCAAGGATATTACATTATTACGCCTTTCAAATTATCAGATCAGGAGTAAGTTATTGCAAAAAGATCATGATTTTGAATGGAATATATTTTCCAATGTTTCCTTGTTATTGCAATTTATGAAATGTATTTCAGTTTGACAATCCTGGTAAATCGTGGTTGGGTTCCTAAGACATTAAAAAACGCAAATACAAGGCAGTATACTCAGGTAAAAGGTGAGGTGGAAATTGTAGGTGTTTTAAGATTGAACGAGAAACGGCCACAGTTTCTACCAAAAAATTCTTCAAAGGATGATGTATGGTACTATAGGTAAGAGAAGATAATATTACAACATATTGGGAAAATCTATCTAAACGTTTTACCACAATGTGCTGATACCAATACTATTTTCCAGAGATGTGTATGCAATGGCTGAGAAAGGAAAGACAGCTCCTATATACCTTGATATGAAAAGCGATAAAAACTTTCCCAAGTATCCAATAGGAAGTCAAACAAAAGTGAAAATAAGAAATGAGCATTTAAGTTATATCATCACATGGTATTCTCTTTCTGGGTTTACTGCATATATGTGGTATAAGCTAATCATTAAAAACAAACCATTATAATGTAATTATCTAATGGTTAAAAATTAGGAATACAGAATGAAATAAGTCAAAGTTTGTAGAAGTTTTTATTTTAGAATATAACAAAGTGAATGTTTCATACTAATCAGNCCCCCCCCCCCCTGATGATGTCCGATCATCTGTCGCGATAGCATAGCAAGGTACGAATTCCGTCCGGGTTGTGCACTCTTAATCGACGACGTGTCCGCAGAGACATTTCCATACAGTCGATGCTCCGCGAATGTTTAATGGTCGCGTCGTCGCGCGCGGAATTTCATAAATGACATAAACATATAAAATTTTATAATCTAAAAATTACGAGGGAGTTTATTCGGTTTACAGCAACTAGAGGAAATGGAATATTATCCTTTTAAAGTTAAAGGAACATTTTTGTATGATCAAGAATTTCCTATAGGTCCTAGAAGTTTAATAGTGGATGGCGATTCTTCTAGTCAAGGTTCTTTTTTAGGAAATAAAGATACCTATCAAGGATATTACATTATTACGCCTTTCAAATTATCAGATCAGGAGTAAGTTATTGCAAAAAGATCATGATTTTGAATGGAATATATTTTCCAATGTTTCCTTGTTATTGCAATTTATGAAATGTATTTCAGTTTGACAATCCTGGTAAATCGTGGTTGGGTTCCTAAGACATTAAAAAACGCAAATACAAGGCAGTATACTCAGGTAAAAGGTGAGGTGGAAATTGTAGGTGTTTTAAGATTGAACGAGAAACGGCCACAGTTTCTACCAAAAAATTCTTCAAAGGATGATGTATGGTACTATAGGTAAGAGAAGATAATATTACAACATATTGGGAAAATCTATCTAAACGTTTTACCACAATGTGCTGATACCAATACTATTTTCCAGAGATGTGTATGCAATGGCTGAGAAAGGAAAGACAGCTCCTATATACCTTGATATGAAAAGCGATAAAAACTTTCCCAAGTATCCAATAGGAAGTCAAACAAAAGTGAAAATAAGAAATGAGCATTTAAGTTATATCATCACATGGTATTCTCTTTCTGGGTTTACTGCATATATGTGGTATAAGCTAATCATTAAAAACAAACCATTATAATGTAATTATCTAATGGTTAAAAATTAGGAATACAGAATGAAATAAGTCAAAGTTTGTAGAAGTTTTTATTTTAGAATATAACAAAGTGAATGTTTCATACTAATCAGAGAATAGTATTATCTTCATCAAAACCATCGTTTATTATTGTTATTATTATTATTATTATTATTATTACTGCTGTTATTATTATTTCACTGTTATTATTACTATTATTATTATTATTACTATAATATTACATATTATTATAACAACAACAATGATAACCACTACCAACGAAACTGTCAACAATGGTCCTGATATACAATTACAAATACAGAAGTCAGCATAGAAAATACAAGTATGAAAATATACCATACAAATATGAAAATACACCATGTACATGCTACATCGACTTTTCTTTCGTTTCATTTTTACATCGCGTAGTGTAGTGGAGCCGGGTTACTGTGGTGTAACCAATTGCTGTTGCCTTTGGTTTATTATCGGGTATAATTAACTTTATATTAATTGAATAATACATATTAAATTTGTTTATTCTTTTATTTTGTTTATTTTTGAATAAAAAAATTAATGTCTTATTCGGTAAATATAAGGTTAATTATTCCCGAAAACAAATGAAAGGCACAGCAATTAGTCACCCCCCCCCCCATTCGGCTCTACTACCCTATCTATTACTCTAACACGATTGATTGAAGGGCAACCACGAGGTCACCTTCCAAAGATCACGGATCCTAAGACCCGCAAGCAATCGTACGAATGATAATTGCGACAAAGGAGGGCGCCTTTATTTGGCATTACTTTACTTTGTCTTTGACAGTTGTAACAACCTTTTACGCCCTATATCCTGCATGTTTCCTTCGACACACCATTACATTTTACGAGAGAAAATTTCGTAGATGTGTACATGCCTGATCACAGCTTGGTGAGAATGTGTTATGATTTCTCGATATTATGTGTGTGTCATTAGTATATCTAATTTCGAAACCGCTCTAAATCGATACAATCTCCGGCAATAATTTATTTTGTACAATCTTGCCGTTCTACATATGAATTGAATTATGGAGCAGTTTCGACCGAATGCCACAACTTTCATTGATAAAATTCACCTATTTTAATATAAATTATCTAATATTCCCGCTAATCCAAAAGCGATATTAATTTTTCTCGCCAATCCCATGATTTGACTGAAATGTCTCTATTGACCATCGAAACAAGAAATGTGAAGATAAGGTACGCGAGATCACGACATTTCAAAAGTTCTTTGTGCTTGCCTTTAAAAACTCGCTAATCATCGAAAGATGCCCTACATAGATAATTTCGGAGCCCAAGTACCTAAGCTAAAGCCGGAACCCGTTATACATATTTTCAAGTTGATCGGATCGAGGAACGCAGCATGTCGAAATCTGGCGGGCTTTTGTTGTGCACGTGCAATCTCTTCTTTCTTCTCTCGACAAACAGCAGAACGATCGAAGAAGTAACACAGTTCGTGATGCTAATTTCGCCTGCGAAATGGCATACGTTTGCCTTTATTGTCCCGGTTGTTACAACGTTATTAAATTCAGACGGGTAAATGTAACAAGCGTTAATGCTACTTCGTGCGTCGGGGTACACTCTAAAACTGAACGTTTCTGTTTTCTATATACTCGATTACATACACGATTAACGATGTAGAGGTTCTTTCGAAAGTATAAAACACGAATTGCAGATCGCTCGATTTGCTCGGTTCAAAAACATCCTTCATAAGGCTAGGTAAAAAGCTGTGGCGACATAATAAGCAGCGATCCAATCGTGTCTGAGATATTCGATTAACATTTTCACATGTGTGAAAAATGCAATAAAACATGTGTAAAACAAACCATCCACCATAAATACATAAAATTTACGAATCATTAACAACAACAATAATTAACCATTCCAATGGCATATCTAGGTGTTCAATTTACAAATTAAAACATTCAATATCTCAGGAACGATTACCTTAACGACCGGTATTTGTGAACGCATTTTTGTTTGTTTCAACCAACGTCGCCGAATTTCGCGAATCTTCCTGAACAACTATACCCATGAAAATCCTGTTCCGCTCCCTCCCACTTTTTACAAGACTATACTTTTCCCGTCTGCGCTGACCTGAGACTGTCGACAAACGACTCGGTTTTTGTTAGGCACGAGCCTCTGGCGAAGGCATTTTATTTTCCCGAAAGCAATCGATTCTCAACGGTATCCGAGCAAGGGGTTTCCCCTCGGATCTCTCATCGCGTCTATCGAATTTCATTCGAGTTGTGATCAAGCAGGTCGTCGAATTACAGAGAACACGTTCGGTAAAGATACACGCGATCACCATTGCACTATCTACCATCTACGAGTTTAATTCGCCCTTATCCTCCCCATCTCCGCTCCTCATAATCGCGACACCGAAGAACAATGAGTCGGTTCCGAGCGGTTTACTCGTTCAGAACGCAGGTTCGGACGAGAGCATTGGTGACAGCATACGGGTCGCAGTTGCTGCTCGGTCTCCTGTCCTCCAAGTATCCTTTCCTGTCTTCCGCGACGCCGCGCGGAATACGAATGCTGACATTGCGGTTCGCAACGCCGGCGCTGAAATCGTGTATACTGCTCGTCTCGCATTTCCCGGTCAAGCGGCGCTCGTTGTCCTTCCCTCCGCGCGGGTCGTACGCCTGGATGTGTCTGAGGTGTTGTTTGCTCAGTTTGTCGATCGCTTTTTCGATCTCCACGATTCCGTTATTCGCGCGCATCGACTTCGTCGAGAAGTTGGTGTGCGCGCCGGCACCGTTCCACGAGCCCTCCATGGGCTTCGGGTCCAGCGTCACGATCACGCCGTACTCCTCGGCGACCTGGTGCAGAATGAACCTGGCGATCCAGAGATCGTCGCCGGCGGATATGCCGCTGCACGGGCCCACCTGGAACTCCCATTGGGACGGCATCACCTCGGCATTGGTCCCGGCCATTTTCACGCCCGCGTACATACAGGCCCGGTAATGAGCCTCGACGATCTCGCGGCCGATCACTTTGTTGGCGCCGACGCCGCAGTAATACGGGCCCTGGGGGCCCGGGTAGCCGTTCTTCGGCCAGCCAAGGGGCCTGCCGTCGGTGTCCAGGAAGGTGTACTCCTGCTCGATACCGAACCACGGGTCCTCGTCTTTGACCGCCTCCATCGCCTCGTTGCATTTGTAGCGCTTGTTCGAGGCGGTCGGCGTCTTGTCGCTGTTGTAAGTGTCGCACAGCACCAGCTTGTTCATGCCGCGGCGGAACGGGTCGTTGTAGATCGCCACGGGGAACAGATAAATGTCGCTGTTCGCTCCGTCCGCCTGGTACGTCGAGCTTCCGTCGTACGTCCAAATCGGTAACTCTGAAAACAAAAGGAGTCCTGTGAGTCGCGAGCTATAATAACGTGTCCCGGTGATTCAGCCTTATCGCCGGGCTTTAAGCGTGATGGAACGTTTTCTCGTTCGCGGAAATGCTGGGATTCCAAGCTCGCGTTTGCCCCCCCCCCCCCTGATGATGTCCGATCATCTGTCGCGATAGCATAGCAAGGTACGAATTCCGTCCGGGTTGTGCACTCTTAATCGACGACGTGTCCGCAGAGACATTTCCATACAGTCGATGCTCCGCGAATGTTTAATGGTCGCGTCGTCGCGCGCGGAATTTCATAAATGACATAAACATATAAAATTTTATAATCTAAAAATTACGAGGGAGTTTATTCGGTTTACAGCAACTAGAGGAAATGGAATATTATCCTTTTAAAGTTAAAGGAGCATTTTTGTATGATCAAGAATTTCCTATAGGCCCTAGAAGTTTAACAGTGGATGGCGATTCTTCCACTCGAGGTTCTTTTTTAGGAAATAAAGACACCTATCAAGGATATTACATTATTACGTCTTTCAAATTGTCAGATCAGGAGTAAGTTACTGCAAAAGGATAATGATTTTGAATGGAATATATTATCGATGCTCCGGGAATGTTTAATGGTCGCGTCGTCGCGCGCGGAATTTCATAAATGACATAAACATATGAAATTTTATAATCTGAAATTACGAGGGAGTTTATTCGGTTCACAGCAACTGGAGGAAATGGAATATTATCCTTTTAAAGTTAAAGGAGCATTTTTGTATGATCAAGAATTTCCTATAGGCCCTAGAAGTTTAACAGTGGATGGCGATTCTTCCACTCGAGGTTCTTTTTTAGGAAATAAAGACACCTATCAAGGATATTACATTATTACGTCTTTCAAATTGTCAGATCAGGAGTAAGTTACTGCAAAAGGATAATGATTTTGAATGGAATATATTATCGATGCTCCGGGAATGTTTAATGGTCGCGTCGTCGCGCGCGGAATTTCATAAATGACATAAACATATGAAATTTTATAATCTGAAATTACGAGGGAGTTTATTCGGTTCACAGCAACTGGAGGAAATGGAATATTATCCTTTTAAAGTTAAAGGAGCATTTTTGTATGATCAAGAATTTCCTATAGGCCCTAGAAGTTTAACAGTGGATGGCGATTCTTCTACTCAAGGTTCTTTTTTAGGAAATAAAGACACCTATCAAGGATATTACATTATTACGTCTTTCAAATTATCAGATCAGAAGTAAGTTACTGCAAAAGGATAATGATTTTGAATGGAATATATTATCGATGCTCCGGGAATGTTTAATGGTCGCGTCGTCGCGCGCGGAATTTCATAAATGACATAAACATATGAAATTTTATAATCTGAAATTACGAGGGAGTTTATTCGGTTCACAGCAACTGGAGGAAATGGAATATTATCCTTTTAAAGTTAAAGGAGCATTTTTGTATGATCAAGAATTTCCTATAGGCCCTAGAAGTTTAACAGTGGATGGCGATTCTTCTACTCAAGGTTCTTTTTTAGGAAATAAAGACACCTATCAAGGATATTACATTATTACGTCTTTCAAATTGTCAGATCAGGAGTAAGTTACTGCAAAAGGATAATGATTTTGAATGGAATATATTATCGATGCTCCGGGAATATTTAATGGTCGCGTCGTCGCACGCGGAATTTCATGAATACAGACGAAACTCTTTGACAGTGACGAATGCGCGCAAGCAAACCGAGCATGTGAACGCATTAACACGGTCAACTTTAAGCTGCATGTCCACCGAAAGAACATCAAACAATGTCTGTAGCAAGTTATTTCCTTTGTTAGTTGATCGCGAAGGTCACGTGCCTCGTTGCCAAGTTATTAGCGAGTGCAACGTGCTTGGAACGCGATGACGGTTCCACATTAGACGATAAAGATATCCTCCCGGAACGATGATGTTTTAGCACAAGAATTTTCATCATGCAGTAGTTTTGCTAAGTTAACTATGTTATATCGTGTTCTTTCAACTCGATATTTGAGCCGTTTATTTTGAAAGTGGCATAAGTCGCTTTGTCAAAAAAATCGAGTTAATGGTAACGCTAATTATTATACATTTGAACGGTATCTTTTCATTTGAAAAAGAAAAAGAGTGATTTATGCCACTTTCAAAATAAACGGCTCATTTAGGGCATTGGATTATAAAGTATCCGATAGAGGTTTATATGTTGCATGCATCACAAATCGTTGGGCTTGATTCAGCGATAAGAAAAGAATGGGCAAGGTTGGTGTGACCTATTCTCAAACCCGTTGCTATTGTTTGATTTATTCTGTTCATGTAAATTGCTGCACTGATATCGTACTTATCGGCAAACCTTGTGGCAAGTAGTAGGCCTGGACTGTTTCCAATCTTGATTCCATATTGCAAGTTCTTGTTTATTGCTGTTCTAAGTAACATGCTCGCGTCAATTTACGAAAACAATTTGTCTTTGTTAGAACAACCAGTTCGGAGGAAAATTAGGTTTACTCTAAGGGTCGATAAATATGATTTTCTGCACTATGAATTAAACGAGATAATACTTCGCAACAGCACTTTGCTGTTGTTCATACAATATTAATCCTGGACCGGGCGCATTGGGTATAGTTACGTAAAGTTCGCGTGGGGTGCGCGACACCCCAAGAGACCTGTAAAAGTAATATTGAGAACAAAATCACGCTACTGTGACTCTTAACTGAAAGCTAATGCAGCTATTGGCAGCTAGATATCATCACTTAACATTTCGCTAAAAAATAAAGAAACGTCAATTATAAAACAAATGGCTGTGGCGTCGAACACCCTGAGCGACCGCGGGGTTTTCTGGAGGTTTCTTAATCGGTATCATTAAATGCTTTTATTGGGTTGGCAACTAAGTAATTGCCGATTTCAGTTACAGATGTCTCTCACTCCCATTTTTATGATATCCGTAAATGTTATATTATAAAATTATTATTATTATTATTATTATTATTATTATTATTATTATTAT